CAATATGTAACGAGAGAAACCAGCCCGAAAGATGGTGCCGGAGTAAAAAGGACCTTTTAAGGCCAATCTCGTAGCGCTTATCCCAAGAGTCCAAAACAGAAGAGCAGCAAAGTGACTTATCATCTATCGAGCAAGGCGGAGTTCCTCTTGCGTGTTACTTATGTTTAACAAAAGGGAGGGAGGGAGGGAGGCAAGGAGGGAGGGGGTGAGAGAATTTTTTGGGGTTTTGAACACACAACAACCCGTGCCCTTCTGGATCTTGTGTCAAAAATAGGCAAGCAAGAAATCACAACAAATAAAAGAAAAACTTGCAGGAAAGAACGAACAAAAAAAGAAAACGAACAAAAAAAAACACCAGATTTAACGAGGTTCGGCAAACGTGACTACATCCTCGAAAGCCACACCAGAAATTCTTTGATTAATTGAAGAAGATTACAATGCTCGCAATAGGGCACTCTCTTTCTAAGATCTCTGATCTCAAAGTGCCGTCAAAACCCTCTCAAAGACGTCCTCAAATTACCCTAAAAACGTTTTAGGAAACATATATATACTCAGCCCAAAAACAGAATCCAACCCGAATCAGGAAACTACCAAACCCGACTTTGGTCGGCCGATAGCATCACATCGGTCGACCGATAGCATCACATCGGTCGACCGATAGTTTGTTTCGGTCGACCGGTCAGAACTCTGTTTTCTACAGGGTTCTCGTGCACATTTTCGGTTGACCGTGACAAGCTCGTCGGTCGACCGACATGAAACTCCTAAAATTCTTCTTGGCTTCACATCGGTCGACCGATGAGCTTGTGTCGGTCGAGGTTGACCGATAAGCGAATTTTTGTGTAGTTTGTGTTTTTCGATTCCAGGTTTGGTTCTCCACTCCCGAAACCAACAATCTCTCACTTGGAGATCAAACCGCCATCAACGAGCTCTTCCAAACTCCCGCCATCTTCGCAAGCATCTTCTCCTACCCGGAAAAAATTCATTCTTCAATCAATATCATATCGGCAATCCCGCCTATCCTCTTAGTGTGGCTCCGCCTTCGTCTCCTACGTGTGAAGGCCAACTGATGTTGCGCACAACTCCAGTTTGTCGATGGTCACTGTGTTCATCAACATGTCCGCAAGATTTTGACTCCCTAAAATCTTCTCTAACTGTAACTTGTCGTCCTCTATCAGGGAGAGTATGAAATGGTAACGTACGTCGATGTGCTTCGTTCTGGTATGATATACTAAATTTTTGGCAAGGTGTATAGCACTCTGGCTATCACAATAAGTAACGGCATTCCCCTGCTTCAAACCCAATTCTTCCAGGCACCCGGTCAACTAAATCATCTTCTTGCTGGCTTCAGTCACTACGACATACTCTGCCTCAGTCGTGGACAATATTACTATCTTCTGCAAACGTGAGACCCAGCTCACTGCTGTCGACGCTAAGGTATAAACATACCTTGTGGTACTTCGCCTCGTATCAAGATCACTGGCGAAATCTGTATCCACGTATCCATGCAGTACTAATTTCTTCCTCCTGAAACACAATGACATATCTGTAGCCCCTCTCAAGTATCGCAATATCCACTTCACGGTCTTTCAATGCTACTTCCCTGGATTACTTGCAAACATACTCACAACTCACACTGCATAGACGATATCTGGCCTCGTGCAAACCATCACGTACATAAGACTATCAATGACTGATGAATATGGCACTCTGCTCATGTGCTCCTTCTCTGCATCTGTCTTAGACGATTGCTCCTCGGATAATTTGAATTGACTTCCAATGGGCGTGCCAACGGACTTGGCATTCTCCATATTGAATCTCTGAAGTACCTTCTCGATGTATTCAGCCTGACTCAACTACAACGTCCCTTTAGCTTCATCTCGGCTGATTCGCACCCCAAGAATTTGCTTCGCTGCACCCAGATCCTTCGTAGCAAACTCCTTCGCCAACTGCTTTTTTAATTTGTTTATCTCCTCTAAACACGATCCTGCAACTAACATGTCATTAACATACAATAATAACACGATATAGCTGGACTCGAACCTCTTGAAATAAGAACAATGATCTGAATTGCATCTTCCATAGCCATTGCTCTGCATGAAGTTATCGAACTTCTTGTACCACTGTCTCGGAGCATGTTTCAAACCGTACAAGCTCTTCTTGAGCCTACACATCATCTCTTAATTTCCTTCTATAAAGCCAACAGGTTGCTTCATGTAGATTTCTTCATCCAAATCATCATGAAGAAAGTCAGTCTTCACATCCAACTGCTCAATGTAGAGATTTTCAACAGCTACTAAGCTCAACACTACTCTGATGGTTATAAGCTTCATAACGGGGGGAAATATCTCTGTATAGTCCACTCATTCCCGCTATTAGAACTCTTTTACAACTAATCTGGCCTTGTATCTCTTGCTTCCATCACTCTCCTGCTTGACTCAATAGACCCACTTGTTATATAAGGCTTTCTTCTGTGTAGGTAGCTGGACTAACTCTCATGTCTCGTTCGAATGGAGAGAATCCATTTCTTCTTGCATCGCCTGCTCCCACTGTTAAGATTCACTAACTTGCATAGCCTCCTCATAGCACTCTGATTCACCGCTATCTGTCAAAAAGTAAATAATCAAGTGATGAGAGATATCTGAAATTCGATTTGGGCACCCTGAATGACCTCCTAAGCTCCACGTCCTGGTTAGTAGTCTATGCACCTAGAGTCTCCTCCGTTCTTCGCTCAGAACTGACATTGTCTCCCCCATCTGAAAGTTCCTCCAAATCCATAAACTCGGATCCACCTGCATCATTAGTGTTGCTCCCACTGCTTTGACTATCTTTGGCATTGTTCATGTCCTTGTACATCACTTCTTCATTAAATATCACATCTCTGCTCCTGATGATTTTCCTATTTTTCTCATCCTAAAGACGATATCTGAACTCATCAATGCTGTATCCAATGAATGTACACTTCTGTGACTTAGCTTCTAGCTTATCCCTGACATGGTCACTGATATGAACATATGTCACGCAACCAAATACTCGTAAATGTGAGAAATTAACCTTCTTGTCACTCCAAACCTCTTCTGAAATCCCAAAATGTAATGGAACTGATGGCCCATGATTAATCAAATAAGCTGTTGTATGCACCGTATCTGCCCAAAACATCTTAGGTAGACCTGTATGTAAACGCATGCTCCTCGCACGCTATGTCAACATCTTGTTCATCCTCTTTGCAACGTCATTCTGTTACGGTGTCCCTGAAGTAGTCCTCTCTAAACGAATTACGTTCAGGCCACAGAACTTCTTGAACTCCTCCAGCTCGTATTATCCACTATTGTCCGATCTCAAACACTTCACTTTCAGATCTGACTCGTTCTCTACCATGACTCTTCACTTCTTGAAGATCCCGAACACCTCTGACTTGTGCTTCATGAAGTATAATCACACCTTTCTCGAGTGATCGTCGATAAAAGTGACATAGTACGTCGAACCGCTAAGAGAAGACACACTAGCTGGACCACAAACATCTGTATGGACGAGCTCTAGCTTCTGAGCTTTAGGTGGTCTTCCACTCTTCTGAAAGCTGACACTCTTCTGCTTCCCGTAGATGCAATCCTCGCAAACACCAACTTCAACTAAATCGATGCTGATTAGCTTTTCCTGTAAGTGTAGAATCTTCATACCCTTCTCACTTATGTGTCCCAACCTATTGTGCCACAGATCTGTACTCTCTTTGCCAGCTGCAACTGCGAGGGTGTCACCCGCATGTGAAGTAACTAGTAAGGTAGAGAGTTCATGTTTTGTTACCGCGAGCAACCACTATAGTACCGTTGGATATCTTCCATGAATCCCCGGTGAATGTTGAAACATAACATTCCGCTCTAAGCTAGCCAACCGAAACAAGATTTCTCTTCAGTTTCGGTACGTGTCTGACGTTCTTCAGATTCCACTTAGAGCCATTCATCTGAATTTGCACATCGTCTCTTCCAACAATACTGCAAGGCTCGTTGTCCCCCAAGTATACTTTCCCAAAGACCAAAGACCAAAGTCCCCTGCTACATAATTCTAAAGAAGCTTTCTATTAGCAGTGACGTGGAATGAGGCTCTAGAATCAATAACCCATGAGTCAGAGTTGCGGTCCATAGCAAGGATCAAGGCATCTAGCACGATATGAACCTCCTGCTCATTCGCATCCTTCTTTGACGCTTTGCAGACTGAAGACATATGGCCCTCATGACCGCAGTTCCAATACTTTCCTTTGATAGGCCTAACCTTCGAGTTCAACCTCTTCTTCTTCGACTTCGACCGATTCATGTTCTGATTATTTTTCTTTTGACTTCGGCCTCTCTACTCGAGATTTAGGGCTGAATCGGAACCTTCTGATTCGGACGATTTTTTTCTAACCTCCTCGAATAGAATCATGCTAACAACCTCGCTTAGCTTTAACTTCTTCTTCCCCGTCAAGTTGCTAATTGCGGTCACGCAACCTGCCCAACTATCCAGCAACTGCGATAGAATCAATAGGACCTGCACTTCGTCATCAAACGTGATGTCGACTGAGATAAGTTGATCAACGATCGTGTTGAACTCGCTGAGATGCATTGTGAAGAAGCATCCTTCTGCCATCTTGAGGTTAAAAAATGTCTTGACGAGATGCACCTTATTTGCGACTGACGGTTACTCGTACATCTTCGCGAGCGCTTCCATAAGCCCCACCGTCGTCTTCTCCTTCAATATATTATGGGTGACTGATTTGACGAGTGATAACCGAATCTGCCCTAGAGCCTTCTGATCCACTATTTCTCAGTCCTCGTCTGATTCATCTTTGTTCTTTCCTTTAGCTTTTTTCATCAACGGACGGTAATGATCCTTCTGGTACAGATAGTCATCCATCTGTGACTTCTAGTAGGCGATGTCTGATCCGTCAAACTTCTTGATCTTTGATTTGTTTTCTTCTGCCATCTCTTTCAAAACACAAACTTTTGCCGAACAAAGCTCTAATACCAGTTGTTGGGATTGAACACACGACAACCCGTGTCCTTTCGGATCTTGTGTCAAAAATAGGCAAGCAAGAAATCACAGCAAATAAAAGAAAAACTTGCAGAAAAGAACAAACAAAAGAAGAAAACACCAGATTTAACGAGGTTCGGCAAACGTGCTTACATCCTCGGGAGCCACACCAAAAATTCTTTGATTAATTGAAGAAGAATGCTCGCAATAGGGCACTCTCTCTCTCTCTAAGATCTCTGATCTCAAAGTGCCGTCAAAAGCCTCTCAAAGACGTCCTCAAATTACCCTAAAAACGTTTTAGGAAACATATATATACTCAGCCTAAAAACAGAATCCAACCCGAATCAGAAAACTGCCAAACCCGACTTCGGTCAACCGATAGCATCGCATCAGTCGACCGGTTGATCGCCATCAGTCAACGGATAGTTTGCTTCGGTCGACCGGCCAGAACTCTGTTTTCTACTGGGTTCTCGTGCACCTTTTCGGTCGACCGTGACAAGCTTGTTGGTCACCGACCCGAAACTCATGTAGTTCTTCTTGGCTTCACATCGGTCGACTGATGAGCTTGTGTCAGTCGACCGATAAGCGGATTTTTGTGCAGTTTGTGTTTTTTTATTATAGGTTTGGTTCTCTACTCCCAAAACCAACAGAATTAATTTAAGTGCATATGGATCCCCCGAGGATGAGAAAAGTGAAGTGGGTCACGTGTCATGCATACTATAGCTATAGTTAACATAGTTTTAATTGTAATAGTTTTCAGGTATATAATGATGGTGATAAGTTGTTGATCCCCTCTACTAATATAGAGGCAAACAACTATCCATTTACACTACTTTCTTCTCTTTTTAACTGATAAATTTACGCTACTAAAAGTTCATTATGGTTCACAGTTATAATATCCTAGGAATAAACAAACCTGTGAAAGGACAGACGGAAGTTTTCCTTACCTTAACGGCTGTAGTTTCTGCAACTTCCAGGGCAGCATCGCCAGCATTTGCAAAACGGTTGACCCAAGCTGTAAAAGAAAGTAATTGAGTTGGAAATTAGATAATTTGACAAGAAACACTTGATTGAGTAAGAAAACCTTTATTTCTTTTTCAGAAGCTTAAAATGGTGGGTAATGGGCTAAAAATGTATATCAAATGGCGTTCCTCTCATGAAATTGAACCCAATTTTTGCAACATGGTTTACAAAACAATTTTCCAAAAGTTTGCAGTCTTGTAGCATGTAGCTAACTTTGTACATGGAATAAACCACATTTACCAAGAAGAATTGAAGTCTAAATACAAAAACATCAATATGATAACGACTCAGCCAACCGTGTCATTGCACTAAAACTGAAGACAACAAACTAACAAAAGCACTAGGATACCCCAGAAAAGCAGAGACAATGATAGCAACTCGCATGATCAAGTCTAAGAAAATTTTCAAATTTAATAATGACCGAATCACCCACGCAGACAAACCCACACATGCACAAGCGCGCAAGCGCACACAAACCACACCCAAATGACCACACCCCCACAAATAAAATTGATTGGTATTCTCACATAACAGAAACTCGTTGTCATTCATATGCAACATACACCAATTATTTTGAAAGGCAAATCAAATTCTAATAGCTGGCAGAGGTTGTGCATGGTCACATATAAACAAGGAAACCATATGGTTAAGGGAATCAATTACATTTACAATACCAAAAGTTTAGAGAAAAGCACATCACCTGGAAGTTTCTGTACGCCAAGCTTTTCACAAAAATCATCACAAAAGTGATTGCAGTTTCTGGAAAGCAGATCATACGAGCTTCCCGGCCACTCTCTACTGAGTTCCCTCAAGATCTGGTTCACCCCTCCATTTGTGAACTCCGTCTCCCCAAGGACAATAGTTTCACGAAATGTATACATCGGATTTTTAGTCGGAGGACAGCTAAAGACTCCACTACCATATTCACAAAACCCGAAAGACCATTCTTCAGTACCATAGACCTGCCAACAGGGACATAATCCTTCAAGAACCAAAACAAATTGACGAAAATCAAGTTGACTCCCCTCTTCCCAACCATTACCAAATTAAAAAAGAAATTAGCAGAGGTAACTGAAACCAGATGTCAGAAGCAAGTACTAAGTCAAAAGTTAAGCGACCACGACCTATTCTTAAGAGTAATACAAATAAGAAAATTAATGCGGACAGTAAAGAGCATTTCGCAGTCCACAGAATGAATGCAGCTCGACGACATGCATGGAAAAATAAAATTGCGAGGCCGCAGGTCTAAAGAAGGATATTCCCTCCAAATAAACCGCTTTATCTATTAAATTGCATCACTAAATCGCATCGGTTACAGCCGAACGCACAAATCCAGAGACATGCGAAATCAATAAAACCCATCTCTGCAACCACTTAGGTTAACACCTCCTCGCTTCCACCACCATGTGTACAGAAGTATAACAAACCCAAAGTTCTGTAACACCCAGTTACACACCAGCTTGTGATGCTAAGCATCCTCATGTGAATAAATACCATTTCCTATTTCATTTCATTCCCATTTTTTCTTTTCCCCATTTTTCTTGGTGTTAAAATTCTTTTCCTTTTTTTTTTTTTTTTGGTTCTTTGCATCACCTACGCAATCTTCAACCAATTTGAAGAGCAGTAATCTAATTCTCACTCCAATCAAACCCAAATTGAATCATCACGCAGCCCCAAACCTCAAGCTTCAAATGAATTTATTCGCACGCAAACCGCAGTGGCCCTAAAATCGTCTAAAATACATTTCTGAGAACAGAGATCTCTAAAGTTCCCTTCAGATCTAACAACATATTGTCCCCTCACAACATGACAACAACGCACATTCTCAAAAATAAGTACGAATATAGCAATTAAAGCATCAAAATATCCAATCGAAAAGGGAAAAGAGAAAAAAAAACCCTTTAAAAAAAATTTTGAAAAATTACAAGAACCTGGATGGCGCTGTGAAAGATCCCGCCGATTCCGATACCGTCCTTGAAGATCCTGTTGATGCTGAGGATTGTGTTGTTGGTTTTTTGCGATTCGCTGTTGGTTACGTCGTACACGTGGACGACCACCTCCTTCATCCTCCGGAAGTTTTACCAAAAATGGAGGGATTCTAGGTTTTGATCATTGAGGTCGGAACTGATTTATTCGTTTATCCGATGTGGGACTATTTTTCCGATCAGATTCAGGCCTCTTCTCTCTCTCTCTCTTCGTGTTTCGGTTTCGGTTTCGATTTCAAGATCGCGTGGGATTCTAGGGCGTCTCGCTTCTCTCTCCCCTCGGATTCCTCTGAACACAGCTAATTTTTATTTTGCCGGTTTCGAGCACGTGCGCTGTCTGTAGATAAGGTTTAATTCTTTTTCTATTTGCAAAGGGGTCCACAGACTTTGGTTTTTAACTACAGAATTTTTTTGGCTAAATACTCATATTGGTATTTTATTTTAACCCAATTTGCCAAGAAGGTATTTTAATTAGGAAATTCAGTGTTAAGACATTTTAATTGAATAAAATTACCAATTAGGTCCTTTTTCTCGTCGGCGACCACTTTTCCGGTGAGAACTCGTCACGTGCGTTGCACGCGGTGGCTTAATCGTCACGTCTCAGGCCAGCCCCTCCACCTCGCCACTCTCCCTTGTCCCGCTGCCTCCTTCACCATCACCGAGCTCTGACGACAGCAACCTCATTCCCCTTCTGTCCACGGCGAGCCCGACTTCAACACCTCCATCTCCTCCTCTTCCCTCCACTCCCCGCCTTCATCCCCCAGACCCTCCCTCTTCCTCTCTTTGTCGAGCTTCCCCACGCCGAACTTGCTGCTGCTCAAGTTCCCATCGACCAGCCCAACTCCGAGCTTCCCTTCGCCCTCAACTTGAGACCCGATGTGACGCCCCTGGGTTCACACAAGGCTGTAGTCCAAGGTAAAACCAAGAATGTCAAACCTGCCTTGCACCTCACCGTGCAATAACATGTTTCACCATCACAATTAACATCTATCTAGCAGAGTCAACAATAGGTGTAGGTACAAAAGCAAGTAAAAGATAGTGCAGGAAATAACTGATGCAAGAAATAACTGATGAAGTGATAGTGATCACATTGATATCTCATCATCCAACATACAGAAATACATAGCCAATGTCTGAATAGATAACTGGAATACTCAACAAGTCTCAAGTACAAATATCTGAGTAAAGGAAATAAGGCATACAGCCTTTACAACATCTAGAGAATAGTCCTCAAATGTCAAACAAATCTACAGTGGAGCTCCAAAATAAATCCTAGCTAAAATAGATAGCTAAACACTAAAGTATGTCGCCATCAACCTGCGACTCTCCGGGCTCCTGGCTCGTTACCTGAAAGGGGGAGGGACAACGAGCGTCAAGCGCTAGCGAGCAACATCACAACCAACCCCAAGGGAACAGGGCTCATTGTATAAGAAAATATAGATAATACATAATAGATCTAAAATCATTGATCTTACTAAAGAGGATCTTAGTATTTAGAAATTTACAACACGAGCATAGGTACGTCGAGCGAAATAATCCAAACAAGAAAACCCTCATGTATATACCTTGTATCTCAAATTATAAATCCCTAAACACTAAACCCGAGGTTCTAGTACAAGAAACAATAATAAAAGTAATACAACAAATCTCAGGGCATAAATACAGTGCCATGTCATAGCTTACATGAGTATCATGTTATAACTTACATGTATGTCATGTTATAATCTACATAAGTGTCATGTCATAAACTCCTGGGAGAAAGTCATATACAAGGTTAAGAAATATGTCCGATACAGGAACTAGATACTGTGGTTTTCCAAACACATGGAATAAGTGGCAAGTGTCCAACACGAGGACAAAAATGGATTATAGTCCAACACGAGGACTTCTATGGATTATAGTCCAACACGAGGACTGTGTAACTGTGAAAAGTATATGAGGACAGGTATACATAATCTAAACTCGCCCGCATCTCGGTGTATATGTCTAACTTGTGTCAAAAGTCAACCCACATGTACAGACAAATCATTAACATGGTAAACTAGGGTCAGGTTATCGAGGCGACCCCAAAAAGCAACTCAAACAGATCAACAATCTGTAAAACAGCTCATCAGTCGACTGATGTGTCGACTGATGACGTCGGTCGACTCCTATGTCGACTGATAAGGCTCAGACAGCACAACCTCAGCTCACCAGTCGACTGACCAGTCGACTAGAAAGATGAGAAAACAAAATCAGCCCGTCAGGCGACTGATCAGTCGACTGATGACTGAAAATTTGCCCGTCGGTCGACTGATCAGTCAATTTTAGCCCGTCGGTCGACTGATCAGTCGACCGATTGACTGCAGAAACTCTGCACAGGCTATTTTTCACCCAAAATTTTGATCCAAACTCATCTCCATCAATCCCAAGCATGAAAAATACTGATATCAACATATTTGCACTAAACTGGAATGAAAGATCACATAGAAACATTTATCAATGTAAATATTTATCAAAAACCTTAAACACATAAAAACATGTTTAATACTTTTTGAAATCAATAAATCATGAAATAACTCTTGTCAAACGTTTTTCAGATCTAGATCCAATTAATAAAACATTGTTGGTCTTTTTATAAACTGAGATGCTCAATACCTCACCTCATATACCATAAAGATTCATTCTTTGTACTAAAAATACGTTTTTGGCTAAATCAAAACTCATTAAACTCAATAAATTCGTGTAAAACAAAAGGGACAGAGTTGGGCGAGATGTTACTCGCCTCTGGGTGATGAACAACTCCTGGATCTGAGAGAGAGTGGATCCCCTTTGCTGCAATGTGAAGATTTCGACGAAAATCCTCCAAGTTCTCCCCCAAATCACCAAGAACAAAATTAGGGTTTAAGATAGGGGAGAGGGGGCTAGGGTTTTCTCAGTTCTGAAGATGAGAGGGGTGAATTCGGGTGAAAAAGAATATATGTGAACAGCTAAACCCGACCCAAACCCGAACCAAAACAAAACAGACCCAAAACCTAAAAAACTGGAAATCAGCATATCAGTCGACTGATGTGTCGACCGATGCAGTCAGTCGACTGATGTGTCGACTAATCTGGAAAAATTTAGTTTTTGTGCATGTTTTGCTAATTTGCAAAACCAACGCACAAAACTCTACACCCATACTCTCATATCATCTCAAATAACTTGTTATCATGTACATCAGTCGACTGATGTGTCGACTAATCTGGAAAAATTTAGTTTTTGTGCATGTTTTGCTAATTTGCAAAACCAACGCACAACACTCTACACCCAAACTCTCATATCATCTCAATTAACTTATTATCATGTATATCAATGACCTCAAGCTATTTATCATAAAAGAATTATTTATTTACTAATAATTCACATATATAAAATATTTATATAAAAATTACGGGGTTCAACGCACAACACTCTACACCCAAACTCTTATATCATCTCAATTAACTTATTATCATGTATATCAATGACCTCAAGCTATTTATCATAAAAGAATTATTTATTTACTAATAATTCACATATATTCATATAAAAATTACGG